TAAAGTAAAATGATATTATATGTTTAGGGTTTATTTAATATTAATGAAGTTTAGGTGTCTGTGTCTAATGGGTAACATATATCCTTTATATTTAAGATTAATAGAGTTTACGTATGTTTTTGTAAAGGGTAAAATATGAATACACTATGCTAGTTACTTACAATGATGACTCTAATGTTGACTAATCATGACCAGATGACTAAAGTAAAATGATATTATATGTTTAGGGTTTATTTAAGATTAATGCAGTTTAAGTGTATGTGTCTAACAGGTAACATATATCCTTTATATTTAAGATTAATAGAGTTTAGGTATCTTTGTGTAAGGGGTAAAATATGAATACATTGTGCTAGTTACTTAGAATGATGACTCTAAAGTTGACTAATCATGACCAAATGACTAAAGTAAAATGATATTATATGTTTAGGGTTTATTTAAGATTAATGCAGTTTAAGTGTATGTGTCTAACAGGTAACATATATCCTTTATATTTAAGATTAATAGAGTTTAGGTATCTTTGTGTAAGGGGTAAAATATGAATACACTATGCTAGTTACTTACAATGATGACTGTAATGTTGACTAACCATGACCAAATGACTAAAGTAAAATAATATTATATGTTTAGGGTTTATTTACGATTAATGAAGTTTAGGTGTCTGTGTCTAACGGGTAACATATATCCTTTATATTTAAGATTAATAGAGTTTACTTATGTTTTTGTAAAGGGTAAAATATGAATACACTATGCTAGTTACTTACAATGATGACTCTAATGTTGACTAATCATGACCAGATGACTAAAGTAAAATGATATTATATGTTTAGGGTTTATTTAAGATTAATGCAGTTTAAGTGTATGTGTCTAACAGGTAACATCTATCCTTTATATTTAAGATTAATAGAGTTTAGGTATCTTTGTGTAAGGGGTAAAATATGAATACATTGTGCTAGTTACTTAGAATGATGACTCTAATGTTGACTAATCATGACCAAATGACTAAAGTAAAATGATATTATATGTTTAGGGTTTATTTAAGATTAATGCAGTTTAAGTGTATGTGCATAAGAAAATGCTTATCTTAAAAAAAATGTTAATTGAATGTTTCGAACAGTTAATTAATTTATATAAATTATTTCATAACTCAAACGTTATTATTGGCGTTTATAAAAAAACTCCGTAATATTGCATTTGAAGTAAATGCAAGGTAATATATGCAATGACTTAGAGTATCTCATCCCGATATTGAATACTGCGGGTAATTATTGCTTTTGGAATTCAAAATTTGTATTTTTAATAGAAAGGGACTTTATGTGTTTGGCACGTTCAAAAAGGTGAGCCCCTTTATTGCATTCTTCGGAGAGTAATCATTACTCATTACTTGTAAAATATATGAGTGACAGTTTATTTGCATCAGAGACAAATAAATGTAACATTGTTCCCTTCCCTTTCATCTTCTTCATCTAAAAAGTAAAATTCTCTCATCTTCTTCCCTCTCATCTACATACATGGCTGATGATAGCGTGGTTTCTCCAAACACAAATCGTTTGTAAGTTTCATTTAAGTTGTTATTGTATGTGTTTAGGGTTTTCTAGTAGTTGGTCATGTTTGTCTTTCATTTTCTTGTTCTAAATTTTTTTTTCTCATCTTTTTCCCTCTCATTTACATACATGGCCGATCATAGCGTCATTTTTCCAAACAAAATTCGTGTGTAACTTTCATTTGTGTTTTTATTTGCATGTGTTTAGGATTTAGGTTGTAGTTGCCGATACTTGTGTTTCATCTTCTTGTTCTAAATTTTTTTTTTGTCATCTTCTTCCGTCTCATTTACATACATGGCCTTTTCATAGCGTCGTTTTTCCAAACAAAAATCGTTTGTAAGTTTAATTTATGTTGTTATTGCATGTGTTTACCCTTTTCCAGTAGTTGTGGATATTTGTTATTTTTTCCGGATTTCAATTTTTTTTTAAATAAAGTTTCAGTCTATGCATGAAGTTATTTTATTGCTTTTAAGACTGACAATTTTTCTTATTTCAACATGTTTAACCGAAATGAAAATGTTCATTATGATTACTGTCTTCAACGAATTGCATGTATGCAGAATTCATAGGATTTAATTTTGAAGTTTAAATTTGTCAATCTTATTTTCAATTTTATGATAAATGCGATTTTCTTTATTGTTAGGCCATTGGTAACACACTTCAGTTCTTTTCTGACTCCAAAAAAGGTATTTAATGTTATTTTAATTTTTTTATAAATTTATAAATTTTTTTTTGCATTATATATGTTATTGTTAATTTTTATATATATTTCTTTTTGGCAGGGAAAAATATTTTGGAAGTATGTATAAAGGAGTAAAGGAATTACTCCAATTTTATGGTATAAAAAAAAACATACAATTGATTTTTGGTATAAAGGTAATAGTAGATTTGATATGCGTATTTTCAATATGGCTGGTGAAGAAATTATTTATCCTGACAATCCAAACATCGAAAATATAAGGTCAGACTTAATTTACAATATTTAATAAGTAACTTGTTTACTGTCATACTTTAAATTAATTGAATGTTAAAATTTTTTGTTATCAGTAACATGCCCATATATCCACCATGGTATTTGACTCTAACAAAGGCAGCAGCTACAAGGAAACAACCATTGGTGAGTTAATAAATTACTTAAAGAAATTTTTATTATTGAACTTTGAATATTTTGACTGAATAATTAATATAAGTAACATATGATTATTAATATAATATACTTTACTAATTATTATATAATTTTTTACTGGCAGAATTTTATTGTTAAATACATCGTTGCTTGGAACATAAATGATTATGCATATTGTTTTTTATTTGATGTCAATAACAACAAACAATATGAATCATATATAAGCAGAAGATCGTCCCACCATGCTAAGGAGTGTTATTTGAGTTCTGCATGGATGCAATTTATGAAGGCTGGAAAATTCAAAGAGGGGGACGTCTTCAAGTTGGAAAAAGTTTTTCACTCCGAGTATCTATTGATAAACGTTTTGAAAATTTAGTTGTTGTTGTTGTGGGGTATCGATTAAGATAATTTTTTTGTTAAACATTCGTAACTTTTATAATTAATTTTGATGAAATTTACTCTGATCTGCATTCTTTTAATTCCAATTACGATATTATTTTGTTAAATATATATTATTTTGTAACCTAATTAACAAATTACCTTAATTTAATTTAATATATTTAAAAATTTTGTCAAATGTGATTATTTTTTTAGTTATTAATTAAATGTTCCATTATTGATATTTTTAAAAATATTTATTTATAGAATTTTGAAATGATTATTGTCCTGTTTTGAAAAACAAAAATTGTACATCTTTGTAATTGTATTCCGAAACCCTATCAAATTATTTTCTGTTAATAATAAATAATTATATAATTAAATTTTTAATACTAATTTTTTATATCATGTCATTATTAATTACTGCATACATCTGAAATCATTATTGCTTATTGGAATGATGTAGTTGCAGGCATACATAAATAAATGTTATATCCCTCATGAAATGTGTACGTGCTTCGTAAATGAAAATACGGGTTCTGTGTTGTGAGTTGCATATTAATATTATTCTTTTTTCATATTTAATATCCACTTGTGTAAAGAATTTAACTCTAAAATAGGAACCGTTCATGAGGAAAATGACTCCTCATATTTAAAGTTATTAAACGACACTTCGTTTTACCGTTTTCGGTTTTCACCCCTTAATGACTTATTTAAACTGACCTACAATACCCAAATTTCACATTCCATAATAGACCACCATATATGTTCATTTTCAAAATGTTAGTATGTAGAGTGAGAGAAAGTTAAATTCCATAACACCATTGCCTTCGTTTTGGGTTTTATTCAACATTCAGTTCATCCTTATCTCTTTCAGGTATGAAATTTATAATTGTTATTTATGGAAAAAAAAACCTCTTGATCCACCAAAATCATCTTCAAGGAATTTGTTTGCAATGGATTCTTAAACTCTGCAGCTTCCAGAATGTTATTATATAAACTCTTATCTTTCAGTTAATTCTTCCCGGTCTAATGTCTTTTAATAATGTAAACCTCTGAGCCATGTCCTTTAAAAAGAAGATGAAAGTAAAAACAACAAATTTTTTAATATTTTCAGTAATAATTTTTTTTGGGTGAAAGTATTAAAAGTTTTGTTGTTTTTACTTTCATCTTCTTTTTAAAGGACATGACTCAAAGGTTTACATTACTAAAGGACATTAGACCCGGAAGAATTGACTGAAACATAAGACTTCATATAATAACATTCTTATGCCTGCCAGAATTTAAGAATCCATTGCAAACAAATTCGTTAAAGGTGATTTTGGTGGTTGAAGAGGTTTTTTTTTTTCATAAATAACAATTATAAATTTCATTTTTGGATACTGTACTTTTTATTTTTACTTCTGTTTCAAACCATAAACAAAAAAAAAAATATGATTAATGAAGATATTATTAAAAGTTTTATCCTTTTTGCTTTTATCTTCTCTTTATGTTTCAAACCATAAACCAAAAAAAAATGATTAATGAAGATATTATTAAAAGTTTTATCCTTTTTTCTTTTATCTTCTCTTTATGTTTCAAACCATAAACTAAAAAAAATATGATTAATGAAGATATTATTATTAAAAGTTTTATCCTTTTTTCTTTTATCTTCTCTTTAAAGGATATGACTCAAAAAGATTTACATTACTAATGAATATTGTTGCGGGGATAATTGAGTACAACATAAGAGTTCATATAATAACATTGTGGACCTTATGACCCAAAGGTTTACATTATCTGTTCTTCATTTATAATTTGTAATCATATTGTTACTTTTTTTCCATCAACATTAGTACATTAATTTTACGCGAATTATACACACAATATTTTCTTATTAAACAAGTCAATTTGCACATGCACAGTCAGATCAAATATGAATAATTTTCTCCATCTAAAGTCATAAGTATTAAAATTATGACTCAATATCATTTTATCCCAATACATCAAATTTAAATATGTTAAAATTTCAGACTTCACTAATAATTTTGCATCTCCAACTGATAACATTGTCTGAACGCCCTTTATAGTCAACCGAAGACCATTTTTGCTTGTCAAATTTAGCATCTGCACCTCGGAAATCACCGTTTTCTACCCTGATTTTTTACCTACAAAAAATGCATAACGTGATAAGCATTAAATAAATTATTATTTTAATGTACAACACCGTCAACAAACAAACTTACTTGGTTCAGTGCCACCATTCATAACATTTTGAAGTAAGTCAGACCAACCAGATGCACCAGCCATGTTCATCAAACGAAAATTCTACAAGATGATCAATTTTTTAATCTTAATATATTAATAACATATTATGGATAATGTATGTATATACATTACGGAAACAAAATTAACTAACCTGATTTATTGGCAAGTATTATGGATATGTCAAGTTTAACATCTGCTGTTGCTGGATATGATTATAAAAAGGATGTTGCATAGGAGGAAAATGATTATAAGTATGGACCAAATCATTTCTTTCAAATGATGTCGGGGATAAAACATCTCTATTGTGAGATTCTTCACCTTCCTTCATTAAAAAAAACAAAATACAAGTTTAAAATTAAATTATATTTTGATCCTCAACCAACTAAACAAAAACAAAAGTTACTCACAAACTGGACCTGTATTTTTTGAGTTGAAGACTCCATCTTTACATCTTTCACTAAATTACAAGAACTTGCTTTTCCTTTTGCTTTTACATTTTTATCACAAATCTTCCTACCAACTGTATGTACTTTTAAATCTGTTGCTTTCAATTTCTGAAATTAAATATGATAATACAAATCAATGATTATAATCAAATGCAAAGATTAATATTTTAAGACATACATATATCAAAATAAAATTCACTTACAATGTTCTCCTCCTTCAAATTCGGTTTTGAAACCCTTTGTTTCTTATATTTCAATTCTGATATACTTAAATCATCATCCATTCGTTTATTCTGTACATTCGATTAAAAGCACAAATTTCATAAATTAATCACAAAATACAAATAATGAGACTATTAAAACTTTTTTTCAGATATACATTAATCAAAATAAATACCTTCACTGGACCACTACTGCCATCTTCTTTGTTACTATCATCATCAGAAGATGTAAAATTTTCCTGCAATTAACAAAATAAATTACTTATATAAACTGATGTGTCAAATAAATAAATAAATAAATTACCTAAAATGATATTTCAAAATAAATAACTTACACTTTCATCAACAGCATCATCGAATTCTGTAGTATCCTCACTGGAACTAAAGTCATAATCCATGGAAAGGAGGACAGGACATGTTGAAGCTACATGACCAGTTAAATTACAATTAGAACATTTCCTACTCTTTTTCTTCACATTTTTCTTTGATGGGGCACCTTTTGTCTTAACAACAACGGGGTCACAATAATCATTACTAGCATCATATCCATTGTGTTGCAAACCAACTTCTTTTTGTAACTTATCAGTAAGCTTCAAAATTTCATTCCTTATGAAATTAAAACTTTCAGGACTCTTTGAAGCAAGGTGACCAAGTCTATTAAAACATGCACTTAAAACCCCAAAGCGTGCAGTAATAATCATATCCTTAGAATTATCCCCTGTCTCATAAGACATATAAACTGAATTTTTTGCATCCTTTAACCATCGATTGCATATTAAACTTGGAGGAAACACATGAACATGTTGATATCGCATAACACATATAATATGACTACATGGAATGCCACAAGATTCAAACATCATACAATCACATTCATATTTGCACTCATATTTGTCAAAAACAACATTGCGTAAACATTGACGATGCTTATAATTGTCAACTGTGAAGGTAACCTTATCCCCATTGTCATTTGTATCAACAACATTCAAAGATCCAGCAGAAAAAATCTCAACCTTTACCAATTTAAACACATCACTGGTATAAATTTTTGAGGCTTCTTTTTCAATTAAGGGCAAAGACGTGGATAAAACAGGTTCTGTATAAAAAGAATTGAAGTCAGACAACAACTCATTATACCTATAATCTCTTAAAGAATGCTCAAAATTGTACAACAACTCAACTATAGTATTTTTTCTCTTCAAATAAGACTTTATGCATGAATTTATTCCTTCACATAAAGAAGTAGTCCTTATACTCGCAAAAAATTTGTCACGTAAATAAGCAGTAGCCCACATAAACCGTTTTTGGTAAGTTTGCTGAACCCAATTATTGTCTTGTAGTTCATGTCTTTCTACTAACTCATTCCATAATCTTTCAAACTTTTCTGGGTACATTACTCTTTTGAAATCCTTCCAAAAATTATTATTCTTAACATTCTGACAGGCATTTTTTTTGCAAATGCCATGAACAAAGCCTGTGTGTTGCTTCTAGAAATACCTGCTTAATTGCCTCTCTCATTGCACCATCTCCATCAGTCACTACAGCTTTTGGTTGCTTATTTGACATTGCATTCAGAAAGGATTCCAACACCCACCTATATGCCTCGATACTTTCATCAGAAACAATAGCACAACCAAATATAACAGTTTGAGCATGGTGGTTTTTACCAGAAAAAATCACCAATGGCTTATTATACTTATTCTTCTTATATGTACTATCAAAAGCAAGTACATCACCAAAACATTGAAAATCACTTTTGCTGGTACCATCGGCCCAAAATAGGTGTTTCAACTGACCCTTAGATGATATCATGTACCTTGAAAAAAATAATGGATCATTATCTGCCTTGCCTTGAAGATAACTTAAAGCAGCAACTACATCTCCATCTTTGATCTTAAAACGCTTACTACGCTCAATATGATTGAACAAATCTTTTTTGTTAAAGTTAAGGCCCATATGCCCGCCTGCTTGGTCCAACATAAAACCCATTATATGGCATGTCCTAACACCTTGGGCATGTAATGAATCAACCTGAACTTTGTCTGCAAAAGTCAAACCACGGTACGTACGGATTAATTGCACAAATTTTGAATCACATAGAATATGATTATGACCTTCCTCAAATGAAGCAACCTTAAATTTAAAGGTTTTTGGATCCAAACGCACACGTAACTTTGCTTTGTAATCTGTACGAGATAGGGGTCTATGTTCTTTTTTCCTATCATCTCTCATCAAATGCTTTTTGTCTCTTAATCCAGCTTTGTTGCATAAATATTGTCGCATCACAATATTGCGCTTATCATCATAACCTACCTCATCTTTTCTGATCCCAAAACCATGACACTTAGCATACGTGAAATAAAATTTATAAGCAACATTTTCACTTGCAAACTCCAATCCAAAAATATCATCTGTCGTCAGATCAAGATAACTTTGTATACATCTTCATTACGTTCAACTTCTAAATAAACCTCTTCATCAATTTGATTATCTATATTAATTGATTTTTCAACCTCACTACGGTTACAATCAATAAAACCATTTTCATTCAATTTACACATTTCTTTAAACTCATCCATCTGCATAATAATGATAAAATCAAAAAAAAAAAATTAACATGCATTACATAATTTCTAACAAACTTCAAAATAAATCTCCTTTCGAAGAGTAACCACATACAAATGAAGAATAAAAAACAACAAAAAATCAGAGGGGCTTGCAACAACATGCGACAGAGATAAGAGGAAAAATGAAAATGAAAAGGGTACGAATGGAGGGTACACGGGAAACTTACAGTCTTTGATCGAGATTTTGGTACGGAGAGTAGGTTTTGGACCACCGGAGACCAGAGAATGGGAGGTCATCGAAAACAAAAAACAAAAAAAAATCAGACGTGCTTGCAACAACATGCAACAGAGAGAAGAGGAAAAATGAAAATGAAAAGGGAAGGAACGAAGGGTACACGGAAAACTTACCGTCTTTGATGGAGCTTTTGGTAGGGAGAAAACAGACCCAAAGATGCAGGAGAGAGAAGTTCGAAACAATCGCGAGCGACAACCAACAGAGATGAGCAAGAGAGAAGATTCAAAACAATCGCGAGAGAGAAGCCACAGAGATGCGTCACAGACAAGAATGAAAATGAAAAGGCAGAGAGGGAAATAAAGAAAATAAAACATACATAAATAGAACGGGGACTACTATTTAAAAGGATAAAATTAATGAGGGTTAAATAGCAAATATTAAAACATTGTTAAAAAATACAAGTTCTGACAAAATAAACACATGTCATCTTTTCTATGGTCCTAGTCATATAGAGGGTTTTGGTGCCCCCAAAAATAAACTTGCACCAAAGGAAAAGCTGTTCCATGCATCCACAACTGCTCTGTTTCCCTGTGCTCAGGTGCCCGTGAACGTTGAGCCACTTCCTCCTCTTTAAATTTAGGCAGAGGGAGTTGAAGAATAAGAGAAAGAAAGTGAGTAACTGAAGAAGAAGAGAAACATAAGTAAAATAGAAAGAGAGGGACGCGAGTGAAGAAGATAAATAAAGAAGAGAAGATAAATAAAGAAGAGAAGAGAAGAGAAGGAGAAAGAGAGAAGAAAGTGGTAAAGAAGAGGAGAGTTGTGTGAAGAAAGTGGTGAAGAAGGAGAAGGTAAGTTGATTTTTTACTTTAATATTAATATTTTGATTTTTGCATGTATAGTTTTAGGTTATAGAATTTTTTATGTTGAAAATTTGTTGATGATATTAATGATTCAATTTTTTTTTATTTGGAGAAGGAGATTAGCGTAAAAGGTACGTTTTTTTTGTAATTTTTTTATAATAATAATAATTTTTGATTTTCATGTATATTTTTAGGTTTTAGATTTTGTTATGTGAAAAATTTGTTGATGTTGTTGATGATTTAAATTTTTAGTAGTTTATATCTTTGAAGTGTTTAGAAATAGAAGAGTGAATAGTTGTGATTTTGCATGTTTTAATTTTTGATGTTAATGTTGAGGAATAAAGAGTGATTAGTTATAGTTTTGATTTGGAATTAATTTTGTTATGTGTTATATAATTTAATTTATAAGAAAATTTTTATTGTAAATTAAATTGAAGTTTTAAAATTTTTGTTTCTATGATTTTCATTATTTGATTTTGATGCAAGAGTATAAGATTATTTTTTTTAGGGTTTAATTGAATATTCGTTATTTAGGGGTTTAAGTATTTATTATTTCAATTTTAAGCATTCATTTCTTGAATTTGTAAATGAAGTTGATTAATTAATAGATTGTGAGTTTATATTTGATATTTGTGTATATATACCAATTTAATATTTATTTTTTTTTTAATTTTTAATTTTGATTTACTAATTGTGGATATTATATTGTTAATAGTTATAATTTCATAATGCCTCGTCAAAGAGTTAATCTGGGACCCATTGATGATTCATCGTTGAGTATGCAATCAGTTCACGTCTTTGAGCACATATGGAATGGTCAACTTGATAGAGTTCTTCGTATTAGAAGAGCTACCAAAAGTGGCCATCGAGATGAGTCAATTCTTGATGAAGTTAAACCTTTTCTTGCCCAGGTAGGGATGCTGGGAGTGGCAGAGATGTCATACTTTCCTATTGACCACCACTTAATTTTAGCATTAGTTGAGCTATGGAGGCCCGAAACTCAAACTTTCCACATGAAATTTGGGGAGTGTACAATTATGTTAGAAGATGTTTCAATTTTGCTTGGTCTTAAGGTACATATGGAGATCTAATTACTGGCTGTTTGACATATAGATGGGTTCCACTTGTTGAAGATTTGTTGGGAATTACACCACCACCAAATGCAATTAAAGGTGGAAGGTTGAAGATGAGATGAGTTGATCAATATTTCATGTTTCCATGCATGTGCATAGTGATAACCACATTGTAATGGCCATCATACAACTCTAGGTTTCTCAAAAACTATGTAATACAGAGAACTAACCTAGGTCATCTCTTAAGGACACAAGTTCATTTTATTTTCAATTTTTGTCATGCAATTGGGTCATGTTTGGGGGATTTTGTTTCAAACAGATGTAAACTACAATACAGAAAAGAGAAGATAGAATTTCAACACAAAATTTCAATATTATCCAATATTGATTAAAGGTTTTAATTCCTACGGTGTATTTTTTATTGTTCACAACAAATACGAATTCTCAATCAACCCAATTCAATTTGAAATCAATCAATATAGAAACCTAAATCTAGACTATGAATTTCATTGAAACAAGAACTACAACCGCAAACTCAAGATCATAACAAAATAGAACAATAATCGATTGAATTAGGAGATTTAGGTTATTTCAAATCTGGAATTACATCTTCTCATCTATGTTTAGGATTCAAAATGAAAATTCAATATCATGGAAAACAAAATTATCCTAAACAAAAAAAAGAAAAGGAAGAGAGAATTCGCTTGATACAAATTAGGACTCAAATTTATTGTACTTCTTGAAACCTTAAATCGATTGATGGATTAACCTTGCCTCATAATCATGTTGCTTCAACCAATTCCAGTGGAGAAGAGATAAATTTCATGAGAAAGAGAAAGAGAGAGATAGAGAGAGAGAAAAAGAGAATTCGCTTGATACAAATTAGGACTCAAATTTATTACCATTGTTTTACAAGAGAATATGTGTTTGTACCAAATAAATTATGAATATATGTGTGGGAGTTGTTATGAAACTCTTTGTAAATTGGGATATTTTGATACAACAAAATTTTTAAATTAATAAAAATGACGTAAAGTGTGATTTTCTTTTTCTTTTCACTTTCATTTTTTTCTCCAATACTAAATGATCTTTTTTTAACAAATATATCATCTAAGTAATTAACTAACTATTTCTTTTCACCAAATATTGGCTCAGGTGTTTCAAATCATTTTGTAGAAATCAAAATAATTTCCATAATAATACAATAAAATTCTATTTGCTAAAGTTGAGAGAGATTTTGTAAAGTTTTTATTCAATTTGCTCTTTATAATATATACACAAGTGTAAAAAATCTCAATTTATTATGACTCATAATATATATAAAAAAATATTCTTACTAAATCCAAATATCTTGTATATATATTTAGAATTTAAAAAATATATATTAAAATGAAAAATATAAACATGTTAAAGATCAAACAATTTAAAATCAAATGTTTAAATATTTAATTTAAAAAAAAATAGTTCTAAAACCCTTTAAATATAAAGAATGCAATAGAATTTCTATATGTATTTGCACGTTTTTATTGTATTGTGAGACAAGGTTGGTGTTAGTCAAATATGGAATTTCAAGTTGGTATGCTATATTTTCTGTCATACATATGTGCTTAATAATGGGGCCTTTTGGCTAGAATAAATTAAAAAAATAATTTTTTTTGAAATAAATTATTTAAAAGATAATTTATCAAAATAAATTATTTTGGCCACGTGGACACTCAAAAAATTTCATAGGGTTCAATGTTTTGCATGTAAGGATAAAAAAAAATGAAGAAAAATCAATACAAGTGATGTTTTATGCATGCAAAAAATGCAAAACCTAACTGGAAAATGTCACATGCATTGACATTTTCTATACAAGCAAAATGAAACTAGAAAACATGAAAAACGTCAGACATATTAACGTCTTTAGTAGACATTTGGTGATATTGACATTTTTTGCCCAAGTACCCGTTGTGTTCGTTGGTTAGCTTACGATGATGTAACATTTGAAATGAAAATAAAAGAAAATAAAAAATAATAATAATTTTTTTGGTTTTAATTCAAAAGTTATTATCATAATAAAGTATAAAATCACATGGAAAAATATTCAACACATACTTTAAAAAAAATTGCACAGGTGGCATAAATCTAAAGAAACTATAACTACTAGTCCACATTTATTTTCAGAGAGTAGCACACGCACAGTCAAGTAGTCTATATAATCTATAGTGCACTGATCATTATCTCTTCTACTAATTTTCCCATGTTTTAAATTCTCCAACTAAACATTTATGTTTAAAATTTTAAATACTTTTTAATATTAGTACTTGTCAAATTATTACACTTGTATCATTTAATAACATTTTCAAAATATGTATTTTACAAATTTAATTGTTTAATTATTTGATATTATTTTCGTGTTCATAGATATTAAATTTAATATATTTTAAACATTTGTTAGTATTCTATTTGACATTAATCAATTAATATTTTAAATAATATATTATACATTAAAATAAAATAATGGTGTAAAGTATCAATTACTTTTTCATTTATATTAATTTTATAAACTTAATATATTTTATAAAACTTTCAATTGGATTAGTTAAATTTGTTTTTTTTTCTTAAATTATTAAATAGTGCATGCGTAAACAAAACATTGATACCCACTATCAATTGATCCCTCTCTTTTTTTTTTCTCCCTTACTTTTCAAATTGAAAAGAAGTAAAATAAAATGCTCATTATTTTTTTCCTTTTTATTTGCATTAAAACTAAAAAGATAATTATTTTCTTTTATTTCCTTCTATTTTCATTTCAAATGGTACATCATTACAGTGGTTTGGGTTAGGAGTAAGCTAACCCACAAATACAAGGGGTACCCATGGTGGCTTTCTACATGAAAGGCGATGCCTTGACCTGGTTTAAATGGATGGTCCATAATCATCAACTTACGGATTGGTTCTCATTTGAAAGAGCATTGGAGTTGCGTTTTGGCCCTACAGAGTTTGAAAATTTTCGGGCTGAGCTTTTCAAACTTCGTCAACACACTACAGTCATTGAATATCAACAGCGTTTTGAGAAGATTTCAACTAGGGCTTTTGGCCTTCCCCCAGATGCTCTTGTTAATTGTTTTTTTTCTGGGTTGTTAC